ATGTACATGAAAGACATAAATACATGAAACTGTATTCATGATTGGACAGATTGAAGAATCCTCATAATGCCTAGTTCAGGTTTTCTCAATCTCAACAATTTCCACATTGTTGGCTGGGGAATCCTGGGAATTGAAGTCCATTAATCTTAAAATTGTCAAGGTTGAGATACACTGGCCTAGGTCAATGCAAATTGTACAACTTCACACTGAAAGCACTATAAAGCAAGCTCTGTGTATGCCAGAATTCCATCCCCAAATAAGGAGAGAAATTTTGATTTGTAACTATTTTTAGCATTTGCATGTTGTCCTACAAAACTAGGTTTTCTGAACAACACATATAAAAAACACATGGGGGGGTGTAACAGCCCCAGTCTTTTTCTTTTTCTCTCTGTCTGATCCTTTAATGCTAATCTTTCCTCCATCTGCTGTTTTCAGGATTTCTTTTTAGTATGGCTGAAAGAGGTCTTACCATTTGTTTTTCCAAATTTTTCAACACTTATTGGCTTCCTGCAGGCATCTTATGCCCTGTCTCAAGAACATGGATACAGTTGTAAGCTCCAAAAGCATGAACTATAGAGACAGGCAACAAGGCTCAGGTGTGTCAACAAATCTTCTCCTTAGCTCTGCCCCACCTCACTCTTTAAAAGTTATTTTAAAAAGAATTAAATGAGAAGTCGGCTTGCTATCCAATAAAGCCCAAACATCTAGCATTGATTGCATGTCTCTGGCCTACCATACAAGCATTTTAAGAAAATTTAAATGGTGGGTCACTGCAGTTCAATGCTTTGTTTGCCAGGATGAACACATGCCTACCCCACTCCCCCAAATAAAAAGGCAAAATGAGGTAGTACAGTAGTAAACATCCTATAAGATTAGAAAACATAGAGGAAGACTGCAGCATTTTGCATAAAATGGGTATGTCATGATTGGCATATTACAACTGTTGTCTGAATGTATAATCATATTCCATGGGAGTCATTTGATGAAGATATGTGCCATGATATAGACATCTGCTGCCTATAACACAAGATGCTTTAAATTAGAGCTGGAATTATAAACATGCTTCAAAGAATTTGCTGTCCCATTCCCTTGATTTACATAGCAAAGCAACAATTGGGGGCTATATATATATAGTATCAAAGAACTTTTCAATTATTTGTCCATTTCTTCTTTGAGCTGCCCACTCTTCTGCTAGGACACTAGATAAAGCAAAGAAAAAGAGAGATTATATTAATGAATAACTCATGTCAAAGTATCCAACCAGCACAAGTAGTAAAGCATTTTCAGAAGATCAGTAACATTGTGTTAGGCCAGGGGTTGCTTACTGTCTCATTATTTCTTTTCCATTAATAATTTACATGTCAAACATAAATAAGATGTCCACATCAACACACCAATATTAGGGCACCGTCTGCTTTAAAAAGATTCTTCCAAACTCTGTGACTCTCCTCCCTGATTTCATCCGGAGTGCAGAGGCTACAATGTTCCCAGAATTAAAGTGCCGCAAAGCTATTGTATTCAGTTACTGTTTAGGTAGAAATACAACTAAGGAATAGAACTGTCTTGGGACGAACAGAGCCCTGAGTGCGCTTTGCCATAGCTGACAGCATTAGTAAAATAAACTATTAATGTCAAAAAGTTAGACATGGTGAATATTTCTAGACCAGGAAGAAATCTTACAGCTGTAATTAGGAGAATAAAAGTACCAGCAAATTACTTTCACAGTGTTGAAACACGCACACACACAAACACAAATTGGACCTGAGCATCAAAGAGCTCAGGTCAAGATTTTATCTTGATCCAGGAGTCCAAGTAATATGAATATCTTCAATGAATCTCAGATAGGCTTCAGTAGTATCAGGAGCTATTGTTTTAATCAATCGCTGCCCATGTATATATCATTATACTGAATTGTGATACTGTGCAAATGCCCATGGCTACACTACTGATCTGGAAATTGGTAAGTCATGAAAGTCATGTGATAACCATTTTATCAATGTTTTAAAATATCACCTGATGCTTTGTAGCACATTATTGCTGCATTTGTAAAATAATGTGTATTTTTCAAACCAAACCAAACCCATTATGTAGGAGGCACATTTTCACATTCATAAGGGCAAGGCAGTGAATAAAAGAAAGAAAAATGCTACTTTTTCTTCCATCTTTTGCTTCCCTGTGGTTGTGGCTTGGGCTTCCTTTTTTACTGCTACCTGCTTCTCTCAGGTGATCCATTTTTGCTTCAGGAAGTTTGGAGGCTTCTACGGGCTACACTTCTTTGGTCTTGTTTCATTAAATGAATTTCTTTCCTCAATGGAGAGGATCAACGGACTAAAAGGGACACCCTCATCGGGGTGGCAGTGATAATAATAGTTTAAGTCAGGGATGTCCAACCTTGGCTACATTAAGTTCTGGCTGGGGAATTCTGGGAGTTGAAGTCCACAAGTCCTAAAGTGGTCAAGGTTGGACACCCCTGGTTTAGGTTTATCAATCTAAACCAGGGCTTTTCAACCAGTGGTACGGGTACCACCTGTGGTACATTGGCACCTGGCAGGTGGTACGCGACCATCCTAGAAAAGTGGTAGCGGGGGAGGGGAATGAGAGCGCCGCCGGGCGGGCAGGCAGGTGTCTTGCTCGGCTGTGCCTTGGGGGGCACTTTTTTCAGTGCCATTGTAACTTCGAACAGTCACTAAGCGAACTGTTGTAAGTCGAGGACTACCTGTACTTTATCACTTTTTTCCTTTTTTTTTTTTTTTGGGTCATCAAGTTTTCGACACCTTGCTAGGCGACTGGTGGTACTCGGATATTGCCATATCCTAAAAGTGGTACAATGGGTGAAAAGGTTGAAAAGCCCTGCTCTAAACTAATGAGTTCCTTTCCTAGCTACCCAAGTACCCAGGACTATTCCGACTTCAAGCTGCTTGGCGTCCTAAGTTTCTCCAAGAACCTTCCCATTACTTCCCCATCGTTGCTGCACCTTCCCTTCAACAAGGCACAAGCAGCAAAGTAACTTTTCAGGCTGCGTCGGGACAAAAAGCTCCTGGCGACTCTGCGCGAGGGGGGGGGGACGACGCCCGAAACGGACCAGGCGTCCTTCTTTCCTTCCCTAATTTTCTGGGGGGGGGGAGAAAGAAATTGTCCAGGCCCTTTGCAAATCACAGGACTCGGCCAGGCTTCCACCTGCTTGCGGGCGTGTTAAATCTCTCTCCTCCACTTCTTCTTTCCTCGGATTGACGAGCACCCGAGAGGCCGCACGTTGCCGGCTGGGTTTCTGGGTTTCAGCAGCCCGTTGGCGGAGGGGCTTAGGCAGCGAGGCGAGCCACCGGCTGCGCTCCTTCTCTCTCTCTCTCTCTCTCTCTCTCCGCCGTCAGCCATATTGACGCGGCCACCCGGGGAGGGCCCGGGAAAGGCACGCCCAGGGAAAGAGCCAAAGCGGCTGGAGCGGTCGCGCCCCACCAAAAGCCGCTCGACTCGGTTGCGGAGAGAGGACGCGCCAACGAGGTAAGGCCGCCGAGCGACCCTTCTCTCCTCCGTTGGCGGGAATGGAAAGCAGGTGGGGGGGTCCCGAAGGACCCGAAACAGCTTCTCGGCAGGCTCTCGCCTCCGAGGCGGGAAAGGAGGAAAGAAGCGCCGGGGGCGGACAAGGCTTCGGCCGCAGGTGCCGAGGCGGGGGATTCCCACGCTCTGCTTCTCTCGCGCAGGGAATTGGGGCTTTCTCGGGGCGGGGATTTGCGCCTTGGTGGTGGTTGTTGTTTTTTCCTCCTCGCTCAGCCTCTTTTGGGGCCTTTGGGACAAACTTCGCGCTTGGCTTTCCGGGTTTGCAAAAAGTGGGAGTCTTTCCCTCCCTCCCTCCGAGTTTCCGCGGAATTCAACGAAACTTTTTTACCCCAGGAAGTTGGTGCGAAAGAGTGCCGCTTCCTGAAGTCTGGGGCCACGACGGTTTTTTTTTTCTTCCTAGCGCGAAAAGCCCCTCTTTATTTAGGGAAGACCCGCCATCTAGGCGTGGGCTGGGTTGGCCTGGCCTGGCGCTCCTCTTCGGGTCCGTTTGCGGAAGACGACGCGTTTCCTCGCCCGATTTGGGGCTGGCTACTGACATTGAAGAACGGGGTTACTAAAATAATTTCACCTCCCCTTTCTCGTGCAGGAGCGAGAAAAATAGAGATCCTTAACTCCGTGGACGTGAACGCAAAGTACAAAAGGAGGCCATTTGTGTCCCGGGGGCGGGGGTGGGGGCGTTGAACAAAAAAAAGAGTCTTTCCCCCAAACGTTGAATCGCTGAAAAGACCTTCTTTTTAACTGATCAAAAAACGTCTCTTTCCTTGTTCACGGTAGTAGTCTTGAAGTGCACCAGAGAGCAATTACCGATCCCCCCCCCATCCTTCCCCAGGGTTAAAATCGACCCTCTTGTGTGCTTTAGTCCTATATAGAATGGGCGCCTGCAGTTTGAAGTTTGAAGTTTAGTTTGAAGTTTTATTGCATTTATATCCCGCCCTTCTCCCAATGGACTCAGGGCGGCTTACAGCCAATTAAAAACAGAACAATCAATACAAATCTACAAAATTTAAAATCAATTAAAAGATATATACAATAGGCCTATTCATGTTTTAAAACTAATCAAAAACCAGTTTAAAATATCCCTAGGCCGGTCCTGCCTGCTGAAACAGCCATGTCTTGAGTTTGCTTATTGCGGAATAGTCCTAATCAGATTGCAGCCATTGTCTTCTAAAGGGAGCAAGCAGAGTTTGAGAAAGACGAGCTACCGGTATCAACTGGTGGCCTGAGAGGCTTGGCACAATTTTTTTTTCCTTTTGAGGGGTTTCGTTGATTCTCTTGTTGCTGGGAGACTGGCTTTAGATACCACCCCGAGAGAGTCAGTCTGTCTCTCTCTCTTTCTCTTTCTCTCTCTCTCTCTCAAGAATCTTGACATTATAGCTGCTCTTATGGGTGTGGCTGGCAAAATGACCTTCTCTGCTTACAATTGGACTCTTTTTTTTTTTTTCCTACTGGGTGAGGCTGCTGGTTCTGTTTCTTTGCAAAGTGGTGGTGTTACTAAGTAATTATTGGTCGTGAGTCAATCATTTTGGCTTGCTTAACTTGCCTAAAGCTCCTTAACCATGTCATGCGTCTGACTTGGTCTTACCGTGTAACCATTCTACCAGGTCTCCTGGAAGCAAAAGAGGATATCCGTAAGCTGCTGTATGAATATTTGGTCTTGGATCGACAGGAAAACCTCAGGAACTAAAAATGCCGAAGCCGGTAAGTTAAAACAAAGTTTACTTGTTTTATGCTTGTTCAAATTAAAGTTCCCTTTAGTACGAGTTGTAGAAATTATCATTTATAAATCTGTACCTACGTGTCAGATGTTCTTTATAGGTGCCTTCTGAGTCTAAAAATGCAAAGAAATGTATAATCTTTGATTAATATTTAATGAAATTATACTATCAATCCTGGATTTTTGTCTTCTGATTCCGAATCTATTCCATTTTTAATTGGAGTAAACCACCTTAACGTTATTAAAACAACCCTCAATTGATAGCTATAAAAAAGTATCATCATAGCAAAAAGCTATGCATTTTTTTTTTCCTGGCAAGAAATCTAGGGAAAGAGAGAACGATTTGGATGGCATAATGTAGATAAGAGACTAAATAAATTCAACTATACAAATGCAACAAATTTTTATATAAATCTGACACACTTTGTACTTGTATATTGTCTGGCTTGAAAAAAGTTGAATTTAGATTTTGATGGTCCTAAGTAAAACTAACGTTTTATGAGATCTAAATCTCTCTTGTGTTGTTATTAATGTGGAAAGAACTGATTGAGGCTCTGACAAATAACGTGGAGGTAAAAGGTGCAGTTTCGGATTCTTCAGGATTTTGACAATAATAACTAGTAGTTCCTACACCGGCTGGCTGCAGTGCTTTGATACAGTAAAAGGGAGTGGCACACTTTTGGCTTTCTTATTAATCTTTTCCCTCAACTTCCAATTCCTTGAGTGTCACTGCTAGCACCATTTTGCAGACTACACTTGAAGTATATGTTCCTTATTTCTCCAGTCAGTTTTCTTCATACTATTATTTGGCTAATGTGTATTTTTAATTTTTTAGTTTATTAGAACATGGATATTCCCACCTATGGTTGTCCATATGTGGACTGCTTATTGTAGCTATAATATATTGTTGTCTGACCTAGACTTAACATTGGCTTCCTGTTGACTTGTTGAAATGTAAAGAAACATAAGGACACCATATCATATAATTATCCTGAATTCTGCATAGCTTTTATGCATGTTCAAATCTTGCACCTAGGTTGTGTAAATTTCTTAAGAAAACTAAACTTGGATCTTTTTAAAAAAAAAAAAAGTTGATGCGAGAATAGTCCACTGTTTCCAGATAACAAATTGAGAAATTCTGAAGAACATTTCACGTGTTTATCAGTTTCTTCTGTGATTCTTCTCTCTATATTAGAATTCCTTTGTCTTTGGTGTGGTTGTTCATGTCATATTGTTCATTCTTTGGACCCAAGACTGCAGATATTGATTATGCAAGAATGGATTCCTCTGAAAAAATCTGGACCTTGCTTTCTCTCTCTCTCTCTCTCTCTCTCTTTCTCTCTCTCTCTCTCTCTCTCTCTCTCTCTCTCTCTCTCTCTCTCTCTCTCTCCCCAACAAGCGGTTCCACTAATTTACACTAATTGTATCTGGCGAGCTCCTTCCTAAGTATCAGTGGCATTAGCTATTGTTCTTTATTGGCTGACAGGAGGGAAGAGCCTTTGTTCCTTTGACCATGTTTTTCTCTGTTTATTTTGAAAATGTTTGGGGAGGGAGTCTCATATTTTCCCCAGAATTAACATTTAAAAACTTATCTTAAGCTCTCTAGATGACATCAAATAATACGCTTACGAAGGCTTCAACGAAATTCAAGTGTTTCTTTTCAATCCAGCAATATGCACTGAAATACGTCTTCTGTGCATGAAATGTCATGCAATATGATTTTTAAAAGAAATTATTTCATTTAATAGGAATCATGAATTAGCTGCTTTTAGAATTCTAGCTTAGTCAGAAAACAAAACAATTAATAACTGTGACTTTTCGTTTAAAAATTCTACACACTGCTTTTACGGACAAAAAGTAGAAAGCAATAATGTGCAAAATAGTCTGTTCCATGTCTAATACACTAATGTACTAGTACATTTCTTGTCCTGAAATATTAACTTCCAGAAGGTGGCCAGTCTAACCAGGAATGGCTGGATTGTCATGGAGGAAGAGGAAGTATGGAACATTGTGTAAATTCTGTAAATTCCTCAGAAGTTTGATCTCCAGAGCAGATTGTTTTGAACATTCCTACTACAGATAATCCTCAACTTATGACTGTAATGGAGCCTGCCCATCACAGTTAGAAGTCATAAAGTCTTAAAATGAGTTGGTCACATGGCCCAATTTTATGACCACTACATGAACACAGCAGTTGTAAAGTGTTCACTGTCGGCATTGCCGCAGTAGTTAAATGCTTTACTATGGGTGTAGTTTTCCAAAAAAACAGAAGTGCCGATAGAGAAACCATCGTAAAATGTGATCATGTAACTGCAGGATATTGCAAATGACCGTAAGTGTGGCTGTGATGCCAAGACCCAAAAATACTACTGGGGAGGCAGCCATTGAACTTTAAATCCAAGTCATAAGTAGCCCCAAGTTAGATCCCTCGTAACCTCAAATGGTTGCAAGTCAAATACAACCTGTAAAAATCCCCAGGAAGGTAGATTCTTCACATTTTTCATCCTATAGTTCAAGTTGTAAACTTTTTTTATATGTGTGCAGATTAACAGGAGTGTCTGCTGTCATTCCCCCTATGACCTTGGACTGTGCATTTGCACTGAATGGCTGATGTTCTGAATTACTTTTTCCCAAGTCACATGGAAGCAAAGAATGTGCTTCTCCAGCAAAATCGGTATCTAAAAAGCTGTTTAATAATGAACTTGGAATTTGGAAAGATGGCAGAGTTCATTAGCTTCACAAAAGTAGGTTTCTTCCAAGAAGATATTGCTGTAATTCATCTGGGTGGTTAAGGCTTAAAGGAGCTACATTGCATAGACACAATATCTTGTTGTGCAATGGATTGCCGGAAAATTCTATTAACATTCCATAGAACACACAATGTCTTGCCATGAAAGGGTCAGGGCCTGAGAGCCAGGGGTCCATAGTTTCTGTTATTCTAGTCAGCTTGTTTAGAGAGATGAGTCTCAATATCAAATCGTGCTGCTCAAACTGCAGTTCTGGTTATCCTGTTCTGGGATTATTACAATAAACGTTGCTCTCTGTGACAAATCTACAGAACACTCTCTTCTTCCTTGGCTTCAGTTTTCTATAGCCACATTAAATTTAGTGGAAGTTTAAAAAGCAAAAAAAAAAAAAAAAGATTAGACCAGTGGTGGCGAACCTATGGCACGCGTGCCAGAGGCAGCACGCACAGCCCTCTCTGTGGGCACGCGCCATCGCCCCAGCACACGTGGTCTCTAAAAGTTCGCCATCACTGGCCTAAGGCCAGCCAGCCTGGAGACGCCATTGGGGAGCCCACTATCCCACCCGCCAGAGACCCCCTGGATCTCTTCCAATCCTGCCCGGCTCCCACAGGTGTCCCTCCCCATAAGCAGCATCAAGGTGGCCACGCCCACCCCAGCCATGACTACTGCAGCCACACCCATCCAGTAGCCACGCCCACCCAGTCTGCCAAGCCCACTGTAGCTGCACCCACTGAGTGGGCCACACCCACCCAGCACCCGCCGTTAGATAAGTGGGTTTGGGGTTGCAGTTTGGGCCCTCGGTCTCTAAAAGGTTTGCCATCACTGGATTAGACCGTAAGCGAACTAGAATTCCAATGTTGCAAAGTTTATTCCTGAATATTTTTTGCTTTTTAAGAAATCATTGTGAAATGTTTACTTCTTAGAAGGACACTACTTATAAGTAACTCTGAAAACCTATTAACTCTATTTGTATTAGCAAACAAAAAGGTCAGCACAAACTCATGGAGGGAAAAGGATCTGATTGATACCTTAAAAATAATCATGAGCTACAAAGGAACACCTGGTGCACTGATCAGCTATTCAATGGGTAGCAATGGAGCTGGCCAAGTCAATGAAGCCTGGAGGCATGGCAGGTGCTCAGCAGTTTGTCTTTTGGAACAGAGGTGCCAGCAGCAGATTCTTCTGGCAGCAACAATGTTTAGTGGCAGGGACTTTTAAAAACACCAGGGAGCCACAGAAGGCTGCTAGGAAGGCCACGTGATGTGCAGTTCTGTAATACAGTAAATAGACTTGGTTGTGTTAAGGAAATCAGGTCCACTCCAAAGCCGCAGAAGACTAGAAAAGTTGAGCTAAAGGGCCTGATGCCTGGGGACATTTTGCTAGTACAATTTCTATATTTTTTTTAAAGGAAATTTGCAGGCATGAAATGGATGCAAATATACAGCTCTTTGACCTAAAAGATAAAATAGCTAATTAATAGGATGAAGATATAATGGTTCTGTGTGTTCTTTGTAGCTCATAGCTATCTGTTATAGGGGTTTTTGTAGGTACAGCATAGATCAGGCATGTCAAACTTGCGAGGTCACGTGACGTCGTGCGACGTATCAGAGCTTTTTCGCCATTGCCGGCAATGGGGTGGGCGCGGCTCCGGTATGATGAAACCGGCCCACGGGCCAGCAGTTTGACACCCCTGGCATAGATCCACAGATTCAGTAAGCTGGGCCTGTGGAGATTGTAATAATTAAAGCTATGACTTGAGAAAAAGGAAGATTAATATGCTTGCACAACTGCTGCTTTTTGTGTTTCCACCCATAGAAGTTATTTTATAGATAGTTAGCAAGTTAGCACCTTTGAGAGACAAAAAAAGTTAAGGTGCTCAATTTTTTACATTTTATTTTTTAGAAGGCCTAAGGATTCCATTTGTCTTTTCTTCCTTTTTTAAATCTTGTATTTGTCAATTTTCATAAAGCTCTAATTTTGTTCCCAAGTCTAAAGTACATAGTATGCTTTATTAAGCAATCTTCTAGGAATCTTTATTCCCATATTACACAAGGTAATCAGTTAACAAAGGGATTTTTTTGCAATTGTAGTCTAGAAATGAATTTGTAGTTAGAATGTTGTGTGATACTAAGCAAACCATGGTTTTAAAAGACAACAACATAGGAAGCCAACCAACATACCCAAGTTATGACATTAGATATTATCCTTAAGATCATTAGTTTTGAAATCAAAACTAA